CTTGTGCGCGGATAGAACAGATTTGCTAGAACAGCAAGAAGATTAATTACGAGCAGGAAAAATTTGCAAATTTTCAGATTTTCCTTTTGCCAACAAAAAAGAAACGTTTTGTCGATGGGACAAAAACTTCAATAGATTCAGCAAATTTTTCTCACTGACCGAACTTTTTTTTCGTGATAACTGTCGACTTATCCTTTCTTTTGAGATTCCAAGGATTCACATGTTGCACAACACTTTTCTCTCGACTTCTGTTTAAGAGACGCATGACGAATGAAAATCACAAGTCAGGAGTTTGCTGAAAATCCTGATTTCTCGCGAAATAACGTTGTAATGTCGCGGCATTGGGTACAGGAGTGTAGAAAAAATGTAATGAACCTGAAAATCTCGCGTAGAGAGCTGACAACTTCCTCCCCCGATTTACGTAAAGGGGCTAAGTAGAGAGAGAGAGAGAGAGAGTGAAAGAGAGAGATAGATAGAGCAACTTCGCGCTCGAATTGTCCCGATTTGGGAATTTCGAAAAGCAAAGATCGCGTCTCGCAAACGAACGAACGAACGAACAAATTCAGCGAACACGGGTGCGGGACCCGATACATGGAAGGAAGAAAGCCGCTTTCTTCCTTCGTCTGGATTCCTCGATAATTGCGTGCCGTGATCCCTCTCGTTGTTGGTTCCTCTCTTCGTGCGCGCCCGTTCCCCGAACGAGAGAGAAGAGTTCGCGCGCGCGCGCATGCACGCACGCCTCTTTTCATTTGTGCGCCCTCCTAGGATACACTTATAATAAGTGGGCCGTGCGTGGCAAACAGAGAAGAGGCCGTCGCGACGCACCTAATCACTATAATCGTCCCCGCCAATAATTAGATTATTTTCAGTGTCTTCCAGCGTTCTGTCCTTCTCTCTCTCTCTCTCTCTCTCTCTCTCTCTCTCTCTCTCTCTCTCTCTCTCTCTCTNTCTCTCTCTCTCTCTCTCTCTCTCTCTCTCTCTCTCTCTCTCTCTCTCTCTGTCTCTCTTTCTCTCTATCCTGGTGATTACCGGTCTGAACTTATCATTACATCCCCACATTGATCCCTGCTCGCCTCGGGCGCGCCTCAAGGGAATGACCATGTTGTTTTCGTGCGGAACCGGGGCAACTATCTAAGACATTTGATATTCTCCAAAAAGAAGATTGTACGTGTATGTATAAAATATATATATATATATATATATATATATATATATATATATATATGTATATATAGAACGTCGCGGAGTGTATTCTAAGAGGAAGCTTTGGTATAAATGTGTTATCGCGCAAAATATTCTCTCTTGGAAACTTGCACGTTATTGCCGTGATACAGAGAGAGAGTCGAACGGGGACGAATCTTTCTTGATCTCGTCATTATCGAAGTCTCTTTGAGAGCCTACGTAATCCCGTGTTTTATTATTAATAACAATCAGAGTTTTGCACCCCTCCAACGCGCTGCAACCATACGACATTGGTCGTTTTGCAAAAAATAACGCGCATTAATAAGCAAAATTGTTTCTCTCTCTTACTCTCTCTCTCTCTCTCTCTCTCTCTCTCTCTCTCTCGTGTCTGAGATTGTTTCTTATTTATATACGTAAGATATTTTCACGATGCCTTTCAACATTCTAAAAACGGAGTAAACCGGTTTGATGTAACGACGTATCGCGGCGACTGCTATTTTCGACGATTTTTACCGTCGCTCATTCGATTAGAAATGGATTTGAACAAAGCACCCACTCTTATTGTAACGCAAATTTTCAACGACCTTTCTTTTCTCGTTTCTGACGTCACGTGACGTCATAATTTCGCGGCCGGAAGTCTCCGAACTGGAGTCTCATCCGGGAGTCTCAGAACTGGAATCGCTTTTTTAATCTGTATCTGAGATTCCCGATGGATGACTGACAAAATTAAGAAGCACGATGATATTTCAATTTGATTCCTCGTCTTATTTCGGAGTCGAATTCCCGACGACTAAAGACGGCAAAGCACGCCCCCTAATACGGGGCCCTCGTAAAGACGCGCGCACGCGGCGAGTTAACGTCTCGAAATGAAATCGTAGCGCCGATATTAATTTTGCGAAGCCACGCGAACTATCCCCCGAGCCATTTTATTGGTCCTTAATACAACGCCCGACGATTTCGCGGTATCGCCGCGATCTCAATGAAATAGCCGTTTCTGACGATGCAATCGCACACACGGGAAGAGATAGGCGGTGGGCGGTGGAGGAGTGAACTTTTACGACTTGACAATTCGCCCGCGGAGAAGTTTATATCACGATTTGAGAAATATTTAAATTCAATCCGGCATGCGGCAGATCGCAAATGTTTTGCGGCAAATCGAATGGTTTTCTTCAATAAGAGAGAGAAGATATGTGCTCTTTCTCTCCTCCTTCTCGCCAACTCCCGCAACTGCGATTAATTCCGCATTACCGATTTATATTTTACATCGTTTTACCGCGCGAAAATCAATTTCACAACATACTTTTCTGCGTTGCATTTAATAACAAAGTTCGAAAGTGAGAAAGAGTCGATCGCTTTGAAACGGAAAAAACACAAGCCTCAACACATCGCGAGGGGTTGATTCCACCATCCACCGGAATGTAACATTCTTCCCCGCCGAGTGAGAGACTCTCGCCATTAATCCTTAGGCTGACTTTCTTTCCGCTCGCTGTCGTATAGAAACGAGGCGTCCTCGTTATCGACGCTTATCGCTAATAAGATCGCTGGACCGCTCGTTATCGTCGTCGTCGCACTCGCCCTGTCCTCATTTTCGTACGATTGCGATCGTTAATTATCCCTATCGCAGCCGATCGCCCTCCACCGTTCTCCTTCTTCACCTCCTTACCCTCTCACCTTCCCGCCGCCATCACCCCTCCGCCCACGCGCTTTCGTCGTTCTCCTCATCATTATCATTCCGGTAATTACCGGTGTATTCCCTCGTTATCATCTTGTTATCGTCCGGCTATCGCGGTTCCTCGCGAGGAGCAGCGAGCGAATAGGTCGGACTTGGGCGCGCGTGGGAGCGCGTTGATGACAAACAACGGCCGTGTCGCGGTCCGCACTTGTCAAAATCAAATCGCGACACCCCATGTTCTCGATTCAATCGATTCCAATGGATCGACTTTTTGTTATCAGTTAAATCTCTCGCAGTCACACGCACACTGCGCTCTTTGTTTTCATCTTCGGTCTGTTCATCGCGGTAATTACATTTTTTTTTGTTCATTGACTCGAATCGTGCATCGTAATCCGCGTTGATTCGCGTTCGATCGACAATACACATCAGATGAGCAAAACGCTTATCGATCGGCAACCGCCGATTGATCGCTCAAATCGCGAGCGCCGCGTGACACACACACACACACACACACATATACACACGTTGCGGAACTTAAGTAACCGTATTAAGAAGAAGAAGAAGCCGACACGCAGAAACGCGGAGCAAGCGAGTCCGTAAGGGCATTAATGCGTCGGAGATTTATGTGGTAACGGCGAGGATGAAATTCCATCGCGGTAGGTGCTCGTATAAGTGGCACGCTGCTCGCCGGTAGAGGCGCGAGAGTTATGGTTGCCCATACTGATATCCACTATAAACTCCCCCGTCGTCCGCCCTTCTCTCCGAGCGCGTCCTCCTACGCGCGATCTCGCTCTCTCTCTCTCTTTTTCTCTCTCTCTCTCTCTCTCTTTCTCTCTTTCTCTCTCTCTCTCTCTCTCTCTCTCTCTCTCTTCCTTTCCCTCCACCCCAGCATACTTAATTAAATACGTATTAAGAGCCTGAGTGTGTTCCGATGTACCGATGTGCGCCTGCATCGTGGAATAATATATGCTCTTCAGCGCACGCGCGCGCGCGCGCGCTAATTACTTTCTCCCACCGAGGAGGTTGCACACAGACATTTTTACTTTCTCCCCGCGTACAGTGGAACTGCATTTATCGAAATAGCAAGCACAAGACGAACTGCTCTCTCGCGTAACACACAAGAGAATTTTTTAATATTATGTATCGGTGTGTGTGTGTACGTATCGTTGAAAAGGTCGCGCCGCGACGACTGTAATGTCGGTCATAGCTATATAGGAAGCTAATTGCTCCTTCATTATTCATTAATCTAATTATGCGCATATATACGACAATGTCGGTCGGTTTCTGTAGGGAAATTTCCTAAAGGAGGACGAAGAGATCTAACGGGGGAAGAATCCGCCCCTTAATGCCGAATAAAGGACGCTCGTTACTGGTCCCGAGGGACAAAAAGACACAAGTTTCGAATGGAACGTAGATCAGCACCTGCTGAGTTACTGGCAAAGACGATTATTGTTAATTAAAGTGGGCGTTCTGCGCAGGTCGCACGCCTTCCCCTTCACTTTCACGAGTTTTGACAGAATGGATCAGGTCAGTTTTGTGAATCGTACATACCCTCGGGAAAGTTAACGAAAGTTCCCAAACGCTACATGGTTACAAGCAGCCTCGTGATTTTTTCAGCGCATAATATAATATTGCGAGATTCAAAAGAGAAAATGGCGAAGTTAAGAGTTTTTTTTTACTATAAATTATACAAACTACATATAATAAAAAATAGAAAAAGTACAAGTACTTAACTTTTATTGTATAAAATTTAAAACACAAAATTGTTCAACTAACATTATTTTTGCTTTTATATGTTGCAGATTTCGCTAAACCAAAATTCCTGAGCCGCGTAATAAAAAACGGCGCAGCCAGTCGAGCCGCTGTTTTTGTTCCTGTTTCACCGTTGAAAGCTGTCGGTAGGCTCTCTGAGCCTACCCTCTCATCGGTCAAACTGGCGAGCGCGCTAACCGCTGGCATGAACCCCCACCATCCGGGTCACTCCGCAACCTACCCCCACCATCCCTCGCTCACGAGTACTCAGCATCATCCGGGGCCTGGCGGACCGCATCATGCATATGGGACCGGCGGTGGAGGTGGTGGCGGCGGCGGTGGCGGAGGCGGTGGCACCACGACAACCCCCGATCTGCCCAGCCCCCATTCACCCCCGCACACTGGTGGTGCTGGCGATCCTGCCACTCCTTACGGCGCTCTTCAAGCCGGACAGGGTTTGGGCAGCAACGGACATCATCATAGTGGCGGCGGCATGATGCCGGATCACCCACATCACCCTGGACACCCCCATCCGCACATGCCGGGACATCCCGCGTATCCACCGGTCAACCACAACAATAATTGCACGCTCAAGGTAAGTGCTGCATTTTGTCAAAAAGTGGAACAAGTCGCGCAATTTATGTGAAATACCATTTTCAATATCGGCCGTTTGTTGACATTGCATCTATCCCGAAATTTCTCGCGCGGTGAAGTGAAACGATACACAGGTGGTTCCGAAGACGCGGCGAAGGAACTCGGGGCCCTCCAACTTCATCACAAAGGACCCAGGAACGGTATAGCGTAGGGTCACGGGTTACAATTCAGCAGGTATTATCCGTCCGACCGACCCTTACTTACCCCGCCATTGACAAACGTAACAATATAGGCATTTATGATGGAGAAATATAATTGAATAGGGGCGGAGGGGTCCGCGCGGTTTCCTCTTATATCTTTCTGCTTGATGCTTTACCTCCCTACATATTCTTCCTCTCCTTCTGCCCATGTCCCATATAGCGTGTGTTTTCTGGATATCCTGTTTTTTTTTATGAATATACATATTTTTCCAATTTTATTCCTCATTTTTTTCCAATCATCTTTTTTTGTCTTGTTGTCAGTTAATCGACTAGTTTTTTTCCTACTTTCGTTGATGTTAGGTAGAAATCACGATTTATCTCTGTTTGCGCGACAAAAAGATTCTTACAACAGAACTCTGCTTTGCCGACTACAGTTGTTCACATATAGTGTGTGAAAAGACGCTCTCGAAGCTTTACAAGCTATTTCTTTATAAATCTAATTCTAATACATGCGATACTGTTCAACATTATTATCGCTCGGCGATGCCCGTTGTTTACTTAGAAAATTAAAATAGATATGTTATTTCCTTTGTTTTTGTTGCTCTCTCTACTCGATAAAAATACTTGACATTGCTTTGTATTTCATATTTCATATTTTTATATAATTGTACGTATATATATGACAAATAATATGAACGTGATCATGATATATCCAAAAATTTTACCACAACTTTCGCTTTACACAACATTGTAACACTCGCTGCACTTAGGGAACTTGTCCCAGAATATCCCCCTCTCGCGTCTCCGCCTCGCTCCTTGTCTGTTTCCCATTCTCTTTTTCGCTCAACCGGTGCTATGGAAAAGACCCCTTCTCTTTTCTCTTCCCCCCCTTCCCCGATGTTGGGTCTTTTTCTTTCTCTCTCTCGCTCTTCGTCTCTCCTTCTGCCACACGAATGGGTCCACCGTTCACTTCCCCTCCCAGTTTACCTGGTCTCTCCTCTCTCCCCACTCGTCGATCGCTCTTACCGTCTCTATCTCGCGTTCCCTTTCAGCGTTAGTTGGATCCTTTCTAGGCTTGCCTTTTTATCCTCCCTACCCAACCCAGGGTACCTGAACTCGCAAGCCCGCAAGGCATTCGGGGCCCCGCAGCACCAGCCAGTTGGGTCCCGTCTGCGCTCCGTTTCATTTCGCTTTCTCGCTTCCTTTCTGTGCGCGTCCATGACCACATCGCGCGAGCATACGCGTCGCCGTACAAACGGCGGGTTTTGTGAAAATCGCTCTCGTTACTTACGACCGGCGTAGCGCTTCGGTTTCCGATTCCTCACCGCGAAATTGGGGGGATCTCTTGATCCTTGAAATCCTGCAAATTGGTGGGGGAAAGTGAGTGTACCGCAACGGGAACTTGTTGTTCGAGGCCGAGTGATATCATTGGTCGAGTGAATCCGTGCGGCCCGAGATCCGTGCTTTTCAGTGTTTTTTTATTTTTTATTTTTTATTTTTTTTTATTTTTTTTTGTCTCTTCGTGCTGCGAAGAAGGACACAGTGTGTGCATCATGGAGGTCCAATACCCGTATCAATACAACACGATTACATCGCGAATGGATAAGTGGTTCCCCGCTAAGACGGAAATCAAAGTAAGCGTAATCGCCGCGAGGTGTTTTTTTTTCTTTTGAGGAAAAACGCGCATTTTTTTCGCGCGCGTTGCGCTCGTCGACACATCGGCAATTAACGCATTCGGTTTCTCGCACTTCTGACGTAAGTCATGAAAATGAGTGTTGCTTTGCGTGAGCGTATCCGACTTGTCGCGTAACTCGCGCACATCCCAACATTATCTGAAAGTCATTCCTCACCACGAGAGATTACTACGTTTATAGATATAAAATTATAGATATTAAAGCGCGAACAACAGAGTCGTATTGCCGCGACTTGGTGCCGCGAAATAATCAGTTTTAGTAATAATTCCAATATTGAGTAACACTGTCCACAGACGCACACATATACATATATATACACACACACACACACAAAGTGAAATTAACGAGTAAGTTGTAAATACCGTGAGCGGAAGAATTACATTCGCCTACGTGCGTTTGCATAATCACGAGTAAGCATTCATAATAAACGCGCACTTAAAACGCCGTAATGATTTAATGCCCGTTAATAACTTTCTATTTCGCGTTAATTATCGCGATGCTTTTTAATTACGTTGTATTAGAAGCAATTTCTAAGGCCTAAAACAACTTTTTGTTAGTTTTTACCTGATATTGATTTTTATCTTTTTCTGTTTTTTAAAGAAACATCGTCTTAAAGCAGCTCTTTTCAGATTTTATTAGCTTTTTTTTTTTTTTCATTTAATTTTGACATTGAGGTTACTTCGACTGTCACATGGAGCGCGGTCATCAAACATCATGAAAAAAATATAATGTAAATTTACGGATTTAAATTCAGCTCAAACTTCTTTTTAATCAGATTTATGTTTCTGCACGCATATATATATATACATATATATATATATATAAGTTAATTTACTTAAACATATAATAAAAATATATATATATTTATTATATATGTATTTATTATATATTTATTATATATTTATTATATATATATTTTTATTATATAAAATATATATATATTTTTATTATATGTTTAAGTAAATTAACAATGTGTTATATAAATGTTATTAATAATTAATTATCACATTGTTATTAATATAAATTTAATATAAATGTCATATAATATATAAGAAATATTTTAACATACTGTTAACTGTGTTTGGCTCCTAATTGCTGTTAATTTACATTCTTTAATGCACTTTTTAAATTTAATCCACTAGAGCTGTTTCAAGTTTGATCTGATTAATGTTTCTTTTTTTTTTATAGCCGTTGCTTTCTTATCGCAAACACGTGTGTGTGTGTGTGTGTGTGTTTAAACATTTTAATGAATTCTTCTTTAGCCTACTTTCGGTTGTCTTAGATTAGATTAAGAAACAACGCGCTCTTCCGGATCAATATAACAGCTAATACAAATTAAATCTAATTCGACGAATTTGTAAATTCAATTCGTCGCATGTCTGTTTAACAATTGACAAGACAAAAACGATGTTGTGTTGTGTTGCAGCAAGAAGGTGTCCCAACCGGATCAACGGGCCTTCGGCAGTGCGCTGCCTGCGGTGTACAAATAGTGGAACGATATCTGTTGCTAGCAATGGACCGATACTGGCACATTGGCTGTCTCAAGTGCTCGTATTGCAACGTAATATTGGGAGAAGTCGGCGATTCTTGCTACACCAAGAGTGGCATGATCCTCTGCAAAACTGATTACAGACGGTAAGTCTAATCAAACTTGTTATTTTTTTTCTTGTGCGCATCAGAATCTGTCGCGACGAAGTGACTGTTCTGAGAAAAAAAAGCCGAGGAAAAGGGGGGGGGGAGAAATATTCAACACATGCGAATGACATTAAAAAACAAAGGAATCGTTTTTTCGAACGTCACGCGAGAGAATATATTTTCGATACTCGCGCGGCAACCGAGTTTTAACAATGCAACCTTCTTCACGTATCGTCGCTTATCGCCGAAGGAATTGATAACGACGGTCGCTCATAAATAAACCGCGAAATTATCACTCTCATTAAATAGGTGATGCCAGGTTGAGTTGAGCGCGCGGTATTTTGAATATTCACTCGCCTTATTCGCGTACGCGCGCGACCTATTCAACATAATCGCGCCTGTCTAATTTCTTGAAAGTAATAACAACGCTCAATGCCTCGTTATTAATACTAAACACTGTTATTGCGCGGTTATTACGTTAGACAATTTATCGTGGTACTTGCCGCGTGTTTCGTTTATATCCCCGTGGCGGGGGATTCCCGGGAGCCAATATCGTGTAATCAACATTCCTCTGGCGCAAAATAGCCTCGGACTAGGAAGTCATTGTTTTCACGTCGTATCTTGTGATCATATTTGCCTTTTTTTTTTTCTCTCTTTTAATACTTCGACTCAGTCGGCGCTGTTGAAACACGTCAACAAACAATATGTTAAACAATCTGCTCGTCGGAAATAACTTTGTGTGTACATATCGTAAAAGATCTCGGTGTGAATATTTTACATTATATATAGATATTCGACTATAATAACGAGAACTTCTCGAGGGTATTGTGAAGAAAAAATTGATAAAAACTCGCGTGAGAGTGAATGTAAACGACGGAAACTCGTATTCAACGCGCGTTGACAAAATGAATATTGCGCTTTGCGTTTGCTCACTTAACGCACGCAAGTGTCCGAAAAAACCATTTCTTAGAAGACAGAATAAGTTTTAGATAATTTTGTGACGTTTTTCTTTTTTAGACAGTCGCGTTGTATTGAAAGTAGCTATTGCGACTGTCGCTCAACCACGTGCACCTTGCGCGCCACACGGTCGGCTATCAATGAACAGTTCACAATTTCGGGATTACCACCGCTCGCGATGAATATGCACCTAATCGACTTGGTCGTTCCAAATTTAGAGGATTCGAGGTCAGAGCGCAATTTAATGAGAAACAGACGCTCCGAACTTAGTTAGTTCCCCCGAAATAGATCGGCACAACCTGGCCCGGCCGTACGTACCGGAGGTAATGGAACTGTCAGTCCTTTTTTTACTCCACCAACCGGTTATATATTCGTACGAGCAGTGACATTTCTTGCGTTTCGCGCGCCTGCAGTTAAACGCATCTCTGCCCAGTTGTATATTTCTACGTTTCATATTAGTAACGTGGCAGCTAAAACGTTATTACGCAACGCGCGAAAGAAGGTGTGGACGCCATTAAAGAAAGAGAGAAAGACAGCTCAGTGATTGTTTGCTTTACAATAATCGCTATAACATCGGTATAATGTATTTCAATTTTATCGATCCTTTCTTTATCGCGCGATTATTGCTCAACCGTCGGACACGTACATCGTAATCTGTTGGAATAGCCGAGCGATTTAGTCCGGCCTAGTATCAATATTTGACTACGAGACCGTCCCGTCTCCTGGAGAGAGAGAGAGGTCTAACCTCATTCACCTCTTGATGCTTATCGAACTGGTCTTTCTTGCTTTTTGTCGCAGTAACGGATCTTTTTTGTAACGGAGTTGTGTCTCGAAAATAATTGAAAAGAATAGAAAACACAATAAAAAAATATATATATATATACCGCGAGTATAGAGAGATGGAAAAATTAGCATTTTTTGGGGGAAGGATTTAAAAATTACAGTTAACGAATGAAAATCGAAAAATCGACGCGCACTTAAACGGGATATATCATACAGACTCGCTTATGATCCCCACTTGTGGGACAAGAGCGCCGCACGCTCTTGCGGTACATTCATTGCATCATATCACGCTAAGCGCTTTATACCCTCGTGCAGCTTTACAATCAAACTACTGTCGGAATTGAAACCAACCGGTTGTCTCGAAACACCATCGGTGTCTCCTGCAACCGCTTCGTCGAAAAGAGAACGACGGATATATCTGCGCGGGCCGAGTGGATAGACAGATGGATGGAGAGGATAGCGAGCGCGATGCGACTCGGAAAGATAGGGATGGGGGAGGGGAGGAGGTTGGAGAGGCGAGAGTGAGAGAAGGGATGGCGGTTCGTTTCTTTTGGATTCAAGGAATGTTTCAATCAGTTTGATTGAAGGGCTGAGCCATGGCAAGAGGGTAAACTCGATTTACAGCCGTGTAGGAGGAATGGCGCGGTGGACCAGGACGGAACGGAAGGAGAGGTGGAGAGAAAGAGAGAGAGAGAGAGAGAGAAAAGGGGGAGTACAGAGGGGTGGATGGTGGGTGCCACAATCACCGAGATGCGTCCAATCACCCCCAGCCCGCTACGCCATCGGGTTTTGGGTGTGCGGACGAGGGGCTGAAGGGATCGAGGAAAAGGGGAATGTGAGAGAGAGAGAGAGAGAGAGAGAGAAAGAGAGCGAGAGAGAGAGAGAGAGAGAGACCGGCCAATCATCGCTCTGCTTTCCGCTGGAGCGATGTCGTCGTGATGCTGGTTTGTCCTAGATGTGCAATCAGACGGCTTCCAGCCCTCTAGCTTGCTCCACTGGCTCCTTCTCTCTCCATCTTTCTGGCCGAATACCAAATTCCAGCAATTTGGTAGGTAGGTACTTTGTTGAATCAACATGATTGGGCTTGACGGAGCCCGGCGACGCGCCATGCCGCGTAGCACCGCGACGAACGACGGCGACGACTCGACGAGCCGGGGACGGAATCGTCGAACGGAAGAGACGAACAGACTTGCCTTCGAATCTTCGCTTTTTCCTCTAAAACGAACAATTTTTTTTTTGATAACGATCTCGGGATTATTTAAATCGTTAATTTCCGGATTGCTAATTTAGTCAGAAACCAAAATGTATACCAGCAATAGCAATAGTTGATTAATATAATCAATCATCATGTCAGATCATTAATTTTTATTTGAGAGGAAGTGAATCACCGCGTGTGTAAGGAAAAAAGAAATAACGTGCGAGAAGAGGGAGGGAATATAACGAAGTATCGATACGTATTTTATTTATATGCGAGTAACATAATAACAGTATAATGTTAGAGCGACAAAAGTAACAACAGCAATAATATAACAGTAACAATGATGGGAGTGTGAGAGAGAGAGAGAGAGAGATTCACGTCGATCACGTTCGGGCGCGAAAGAGAGAACACGGTGTATTTTCCGCGCGCTCGATTCAGCCCGCATCGCGTCGAGGGAGGCACGTACGTAGACGGTAGGTCGCCGGAGGTGCTGAGGGAAACGAAGAAGAGGGCGAGAGCGGGGCACGGAGGGGTAGCACCGGCGATAAGGGGTTCATTAGAGGCAGTTTATTACTGCCTTTGAAGTCTCTCGCGTGTTGCCGTTAAGTCGCTCGATATCTCGTAATATCTCGCTCTAATCTCGCGAGGAGAAGTTAATTGCTACCTTCACCCCCGCCACCTTCTCACCTCCGGTCGACCCACGCGCCCCTATCGCGCTCGCCGTGCCACCCCCCTCGCCACCACCATCCTCACCGCCGCCGTCGTCACACCCCCGCCCGCGGTTCCCTCTCACATGTCGCCTTTACAATTAGACGCTTAATTCGGGCCACCGACGAACTGAAATTTTCACCACCCCACCTGACCACCTCGCCTGCCTGCCTGCCTGCCTGCCTGCCTGCCACCCGCTTCGACCGCGGCTCTAGTTGGAGGGAGTTTCCTGCCCTTGGTCAGCAGCCACCGTCTCGCTTCTCGTACTTGGTAATTTCTAAGTTCGATAAACGCACACGATCGCGCGTGCACTGAAAAACAGTCTGCGCGAGATAGCAAACTAACTAAAGTAACTTACATAATAGAAACGAAGTAAATGTAAATGTTTTTAGAGAATATAAAATATACAACGATATACATATATCATATATAGTATAAATATAACCTTAATATTAAGATTATATGTGCGCAACGCGGGAAGACATTCGAGCGACAGTTTAATTGAAGCATAATTCGGCCATTAAATCAATACCCTTCGTTACAGTCTCGATAAGATTACGCGAGAAGAGATACGGGAGAGGAGAGAGGGAGTGAGGAAAAGAGAGACGGGGTGGGGGTGGGGGGAGAGGGTCGAATAGCCGCGGCAAATAGAGAGGAATTAATCCGTTCAACTTGACAGCGATTTCACGGGGGAAATTAAGAGAATACCGCAGAAGGTGGTTACGCTGCTGGCGGCACGTAGACGATGGTAGAGACTGATTCACGAAATGTTTGCGGGATTTCGCGATATTCGCATTTGACTCCGCATCAAACCGAATAATGATATTTGAACAGGCCCTTGTGTGATCTAACGATGTTCCTCGGATGGGTGAATTGAAGCGACGGCCAGCCGTGCCGGGAACCCCACGATCGACTCGATCGAGGAGTATACTTCGGGTTCGAATTTTGCGACCAACTGCCGATTTTATAATTTTATTTTATTACAATCGAATTTCCTAATAACCATATAAAGTATATATTCATTTAGCAAATCGAGAGAAAGAGAGAGGGAGAGAGAGATTGATTTATTTACAGAACGTTATGGAATATAATCTTTTTAAAGACAAAAGTTTTACGAAATCAAGATAGAAAGGTGTACGAATATACATTTTCTATTCTCTTTCTCTCCTCTCTCTCTCTCTCTCGATCTACTAAGTGAAGTGTTTACACTTCATGTTTAAACTTTGCATTGCACAACTGCGCTCATATATTTTTTAAATCACGAAAATTTCAAAAAAAAAAAAAAAATTGTCGGATTCGTAATCTCACACAACCGGACGGAAAATTTCTCGGGCGTATGCAAATGAAGACGACA